TTCATTTCTCTGCTGAAATTTCTGTTCCATTAGATCCCTTAACATGTTAACCAGTTATTTTGAAATCTCCCTCTAATAGTTTTAATATCTAGATCATCTCTTAGTCTGGTTCTGTTGGTTGCTTTATTTGTTGACAGTGGGATATTGTTTTCTTTTTTGTGTATTTTGCAATTTTTTATTACATTTATGAACATTGTATGTAGTAAAATAGTAAAGACTGAGGTGCATAGTATTTATACATGGAAATGGATGCCCCTCTTGTTCTTCGGGCCATTATTGTTAGGCATTGAATCAGTTATTCAGTAACTAAATTAAGTTTCCATTTTGTTGTTGCTATTGTTATCCTCAGCACACTACTGTCTTCCAGTTCTGCCAGTGGTAGGCTGCTGCTACCTTGTGTTTGATGTAGGGCCTAAGGTGTTAGTGGGTTTTTCTCATTGTTTCTCTTTCACCTTCATCTTTCAGTGATCTCTGTACATCTCTGCCACACAATGGAAGGTCTCTCCAGACTCTCAGTCCTGACCTTTTAGTGGTGACAGAGGAAATCTTTGTTCTTTTGTCTGGTCTCCATTGTAGGTAAGGCCTGTATACCTGGGCCTTGGATGTGGAGCCTTATCAGTGTTCCTGCCTCTCCTTTGGCAGTAGACAACCTCTGGTTTGATCAGTGCGGGATCCTGGGCTTAATGTGTTTTTCTCCCTTCCCTCAGGAGCAGGCATGTTTTGTTTCCGCCTTCACACAGTGGCCTCAGTGGTGAGAATTTAGTACCTCTTCTCAGTGGCTTAAGGACTTTTCTTTGTATGAGAAGAGGATTCAGGGAAATGGATGGAATTTGTTTCTTTCCCTCATGACAATCAATCACCTCTAGAATGCCTGTGCTACTGAAAATGGTTTTCTATGGTCTCCTGCCTTGGCCCTCATGTTTCTTATGAGCAGCTGCTCGAGGCTATGGTGAAGAACTTAGAAGCGAGTGCAAACTTCCTTTGTGCCTAGGATTCTCAATTAACCTAAACACATGCTAGCCTACATTTGGCCTTTAGGAATTTGTTAAAATATTAGTTTTATAGTTATTTACTTCCATTGTGGTTACCTCTTCTTTCTGTGCTCTCCCTGAAGTGAGACAGTTCCTGTGTCCCATCTCTCCTCAGAGGGCCTTGTCACTCTTTGGAATTAATTCCCTTGGTTCCTGTGATATCTTTTCTCTGATAGATTCAAGAAAAGTTATGATCTTACAGATTATCCAAGTTTTTTCCTGTGGTTAGGGTAGTAGCAGTGTTCTTTTACAGCTTTCTAAATTTTAAACAAAAGCAGAACCCAAAAGTTTTAAAATTAATGAATTACATAATTAGAATTGCACTTTAAAAGGATTAGTCAGATAGTATGCAAAATGGATTTGGGGTGATAGGGCATGTCCTCTATTTGGATTATTTTCAGCTATTTTTTTCCTTTGAAGACTAAACAGCTCAAGTGTACTATTCAGGAGGCTATTCTTGATATTGTCTAAATGTCCTTCATCTGTGTTCCTATAGCATGCGATGTCCACTTTTTGGAACACCAACCAGCTCTTAGGGGGACATCTCCCCAAAGGGACTGTGTCTGATCCATCTTTGTACACTCCAGCTAGCAGTGAATCTGATGCATTCATTCAAGCATACACACATACACATACTTATGTACACACACACACACACATATATAAACCCATAATACATACACACATCAACATCAAAGAAAATATTTGAGTTCACCAAGTGCTAGGCAGTTTTATTAAATGTTTGTTGAGCTAATATCTGGACTAATTAAAATACTATGACATTTGTTCAGGTGGTTAGAAGTATTAAAGGCCTCACCTAGAGCGGTGTTTCTCAACTGAGGCAATTTTGCCCCCCAGAGGACATTTAGAAATGTTGGGCACACTTTTGGTTGTGACAACTTGGGGAGTGAGGGGGAGTCAGGGGCTACTAGTAAGTAAGTAGTGAGTACAGGCCAGCCCTGCATCCTACAATACACAGGACAGTCCCCACAACAAAGAAGTAGCCAGCTCAAAATGTCAGTAATGTAGAGGTTGAGAAATTTTGACCTAGAATACAAACTAATATGCAAAATAATTTGAAAATACAACTAATGGGACTTAATCATTGATTCAATACAAGGAAACAAGGAAAAGGAAGAGTAAGAACTGAGTTGGAGATTTCAAGTCTATGTGACCAGGAGGATTCTATACCAGCAGTAACTGAAACAGGGAATAGGAGCAGGTTTGGGAAAACTCATGGTAAATTCATTTTTGGAATGGAACATCCAGAAAATGTGGGACTTAAACCCAAGGAAGTGGTTCAGGACAAGAGATAAATAGAAGTCACAAGAATGGATAAAATTGCTACTAGAGGAAAAAGGGGAGAATAAAGGGAATTAAAGATGAAGAAACCTTCCACTTATATGACAGGAGACAGAAGAAGAGGAAGTTCAAGAGAGGAAGAATCAGAAAAGCATAGTGCCACCTGAGGATAGTGTTTAAAGTGTGAGAGTGATGCGGAGTGATGAGGAATAGGAACCAGGAAAGTTACTAAATTTGGAAGTTAGCGTGTCTTATTTTTTTCCCCAACAGAAATTTTTGAAGAGTGTTGTACAGATAGTAGGGGAAGGTAGTTTGAGTGGTGGCAGAAACCAAATTTTAAGAGTTGAGAGTAAAGAAGTACAATCTCAAGTTTAGATAACGGAAGAAATGTGATGGCGATGGTAAGATGGAAAAAATAGTATCTTTAGGGAAAGCAGGAGTGAAGGAGGGTTTGGGGGAATGTGTCAGTTTTTTAGGGCTGCCATAATAAATTACCACAAACCAGGTGATTTAAACTAACAAAAATGTGTTCTTTCATAGTTTTAAAGCCTAGAAGTCCTAGATCAAGGTGTTGGCCAGGCCATGTTCCCTCGGAACGCTCATGGGAAGATTTTTTTCCCTGCCTCTTTCTAGCTTCTGGTGGTTGCCATTAATCCTTGGCATAGCTTGGCTTGTAGTTAATTCATGCCAGTGTCTGCCTTGTCTTCACATGGCTGTCTTCCCTCTGTCTCTGTGTCTGAATTTTCCTCCTCTTTCTTTTATAAAGACACCAGTCAATGGATTTAGGGCCCACTCTAATCCATTATGACTTCATGAGGTACCAGGTAGACATGAATTTGGGGGGACACTGTTCAGCACAGTACAGGGGAGTAGTTAAGAGGATGTTAGCACAATGAAATAATACTGTATGCCCACTAGGGTGGCTAAAATAAAAAGGACAGACAAATGTTGGTGAGGATGTGGAGAATTTAGAACCCTTGTACATTGCTAGTGATATTGTAAAACGATGCAGCCACTTTGGAAAACACTTTGGCATTTCCTCAAAAGGTTAAACATGGAGTTATCATAGGATCTAGTAATTCCACTGCTAGGTATATACCTAAGAATATTGAAAACATTTGTCCACACAAAAACCTGTACATTAAAGTTCTTAGCAACATTATTCATAATAACCAAAAAATGTAAACAACCCAGATTTCCATCAGTTGATCAATGGACAAATAAAATGTGGTATATTCATACAATGGAATATTATGTGGCCATAAAAAGTAATGAAGTACCTATTTATGCTACATCATGAATGAACCTTGAAAGCATGCCTAAGTGAAAGAAGCCAGTCACAGAGAGTCACATTATTGCATGATTCCATTTATGTGAAATGTCCAGAATAAGCAAATCCATAGAAACAGAAAGTAGATTAGTGTTTGACAGGGGCTGGAGAAAGGAAAGAACACAAATGACTTCTAATGGGTTTTGGCTTTCCTTTTGGGGTGACGAAATGTTTATAAATTAGTAGTGATAGTTGTATTAACTATGAATTTATTAAAACCAGTGAATTGTATATTTTAAAAGAATGAATTTTATGGTGTGTGGATTATATCTCAAAGCCGTTATTAATAAAAATAAGGGGGGGGGCAAGGGCAACATACGTAACCTAAACATCTGCACCCCCATAATATGATGAAATAAAAAATAAAAATAAAAAAAATGATAAGGGGGATGTTTGATATATTTTTGGGCTGAAGAGAGACAAACCCTGGGGTGGTCACAACTTTGCTTTTGCTTTATTTAGTCTAGTCACATGGTGACTTATACGTGGTTCTTCTACGGTGGTATATTGGAACTCATCACATTTTAATAAACTATATAAGATTAGTATATTTAAAATATAGTTGTTTGGCCCAAATTTATCTTATAAATAAAATGGTGCATAATTTAAGCTCTGTGAATTCTAAAATGTAAGCTGAAAGATGATTATTCAAATCATACTGGTACATTGTTCCATATATAAGAATAGTAAAATGAATTTAAGTTTAAATTTTCATCATAGAACATTATAGAAAAAGTCTTCCTTACCTTAGTGTTAGGGTAAATATCACTATATTGACCTACCTATAAAATAAAAAGAACATTTTAATTCTACCAGATTTCTGTTGATTTTGGATATGATCATGTTGACACATTCTTAAAATCATGTTTGAAAAATAATCTGTTAATTTAAAGGGGCCACTTTAATGATTCATCATTGTATATTGAGCCAGATTAGTACCCGACATTTTTGAGTACTTTGTATCAAGGACTGTTTTGTGTTCTTATGAGTCATCTTTTTTAATCTTCATAGCAGCCCTTTGAGATAGAGAAATTAAGTAACTTGCCCAACATCACATAGATAAGAGTTGGAGAAACTGGGATTTGAATCCAGGAAGTCTGTTTTAAGATTGAAACCAGCCTGTGTTCTTAGCTGCTAAGCTATTTTAGCTCCCTCAGAGTAGATTAGGATGTGTAATGAATGGTTCTCAAGATTTGTATGAGGAGCACAGATTACAGTTGAAGTGTAAGCTTAAGTTGGACATGTGGAGGGACAGAAAACATATGTCTCTGGGAATAGTAGATACAATATGTAATCCAGAGGACATGAACATAATTCTCATTATTTTTTCCTACCAGTATGAAGTGAAAGCTCCTGTTCCTTCTGCCTGCTTCAGGAATATTTGTAAGCAAATGGCAAAAATGCATGAAGCTATATTTGATCTCCTTCCAGAAGAACAAACACAGGTGAGTAATAATTAATAAAACTACTTCTGTATATATAACATGTAATATCCATGCAGAATTGGGGTGTTCTAACATATTTTTGGCACATTTGAGCTTAGTTCATGTTCCAATATTGACTATCATTTTTTTAGGTTGTTATATTCACTAGTGGAATATGGATAAAAATTTCTAATTTCAAAGTGCCCTTTGCTCTGACAAGCCAAAGCTATAACTTTACTGTATGGTAAGCAATTCTAAAAAGTAGATACTCCATTTGTCCGTTGTTATAGGTCCCAGAGTCTACTTACGTCATTCATTATATTATTAGTTTGAAAATCAGAATTGGCATTTATCAGTGAGTATCAAAATATATTACTCACTGTGATTATAATCCAAATTGGATAGGGCAGGAGTTAGTGATGGAGTTAATAAGATTAACACGCATAACAAACTCAGTCAATCCGCTTCATCGTTAATATTTGTTAGATCAGCATAAGTGATCGTAGTTAAGTATGAACCAGGAAAAAGAGCAAAATGGGGGAGAGTCTTTGGCACCTCTCACCTACGTAGTGTCCACCCTCTACCCCTACTGTATTCTCCTACAAAAGTATTACCACAGAGTTCTCTTCAGTGACATCCCTCCCCCTTACAACCCTTGTATTTCTTGCTTGAAACTTTGAAGGTTTTAGTATTCCCTTTTTTCCAGGCTTTACCCACCTTAGCTTATTCCCTCTGCAACAGGTAAGCCTAGTTGTAGAATGATACAATGTTATAATATAAGCCTAGTTGCTGTCTGAGTAATGAATTTAACTGGGATTTTTGCTATTCAGACAAGTTTGTTTATTTTGATTTATCCCTTAATTGGTTGAGTGCTTGGAAATGGTATTTGGGAGCACTGTTTCTTAGTGTCTCTTGCCTACTTCTGCTCCTGCTGGTTTCCTTTCCCATGCCACCTCAGACTTTTATCCTGTACCAGCTATTATCATTTTCCTGCTTGCTTGCCTAGGTTTTCACTAATCCTCCCACCCTCATGATTAAACATCATCCAGCTCCTTTGTGACTCACTGAGGACTGAGGGGGAGCCATAGATATGGAGTACCCACTAGGGTCTCTTTTCTCCTTCTGATTTCTTCCTAGCCAAGCCATCCTTTTCATTCACATGTAAGATCCTCCGTCTGTGACATTTTGACCTTCTGGATCTGCCATCTAAATTCTAACTCTAAAGTAAGACTGACTTAGCCAGGTCAGGGAGTTGGGCATACAGGTACTTTATGTGTTTTTATCCCCATGATAATTTAAAGGATATTCTCATCAAAGCTAGACAAATGTTTTAGGTTTTATGCCATATTGCCACTCGAATGCCAGTAATTCCACAAAACTTTCATAATATTTTGTATATTTTTCCCATAGAAAATACATGTTATTTCACAAAATCATTTGCATAGATTAATCGTATATAATTTTAGGTCAGGTATTTCTCAAAGAAATTTTGGGCCATTGCATTAAAAATCTGCTTGCAGGAACAGTAAAATATTTTCAAGTGATTTTACTAGTTTAAAAGTATCAAGTTATCTTTGTCTCTGTCATTGTGACTTTATTTTTCTGCATCAAGTTCCAAGTTAAATATATTGCAGAATTTTCCACTACTTTTTATTCTTTTTACCTCTCACAGTTGATCCCACTTACATATTTGACAGGAAAAGGTGCAGAAAGGCAATTAGTTGCTAAAAGTACTGCTAAGAAGGGAAAAAGAGCTTTTATCCAACTACGGAGAAAAATCATAGTGAAGTAGCAATTAAATACTTTCACAGGAGCATTTTAAAAGTATATGATAAAGCAAAGGTTTGGGTTTTTTTAATACTTTCTCCAAATAATATTGATAACTGAGAGATACTTAACACCTTCTATTTCAGTAGAACTTTAAAAAACTTAGTTTTATTTCTTTTCCAGATGTTATTTTTAAGAATTAATGCAAGTTACAAACTCCACTTGAAAAAGCAGTTATCTCACTTAAATGTGATAAATGATGGAGGACCTCAAAATGGGTATGTTTTTAAACATATTTTTACCACATACTCCCATATCAGATTGTTTTAATGACTGGTTTTTATTCCTTACACTGTCCTTTTCTACTGTAATCATGCTGGGGACTAAAATTGTAAAATAAGCGACTTTTTGCTCCCCCTCCCCCATGGAAATGATGTCTGTTTGTCTAATTATCTTAAAGTGGTTTATAAATGGTCAATTATTTTTTTTTTTTTTTTGAGACAGAGTCTTGCTCTGTTGCCCGGGCTAGAGTGCCATGGCGTCAGCCTAGCTCACAGCAACCTCAGACTCCTGGGCTCAAGCGATCCTTCTGCCTCAGCCTTCTGAGTAGCTGGGACTACAGGCATGCGCCACTATGCCCGGCTAATTTTTGTATATATATATTTTTAGTTGTCCAGATCATTTCTTTCTATTTTTTAGTAGAGATGGGGGTCTCGCTCTTGCTCAGGCTGGTCTCGAACTCCTGACCTTGAGCGATCCACCCGCCTCGGCCTCCCAGAGTGCTAGGATTACAGGCGTGAGCCACCGCGCCCAGCCTAAATGGTCAATTATTTACTTGACCTTCTATATATGTTTTCAGGCAGTGTGGATTAGTAACATTTCTTAGATACCTCAGTAGTCTTCCCCTATCCAAACAGGACTCAGAATCTTGCTTAGTAGCTGTGTGACTATGTGAAAGTCATTTAACCTCTGTGCCTCATTTATAAAATGACAAGGATAAAATCTGCCTTAATTCCTTCACAGGGTATGAAAAATAGTAAGTGTTCATATGTATATATTTTACTGTAAGCTGTTGAACAAATTATATATATATTACTGTTGAAATAGTGTAGTATGTAAAAGAGAAAACATAGGATTTAGAATCAGAAAACTTGGGTTAAGGTCTTATTCTGTGATTTACTAGCTGTGTAACTTTGGGCAAATCACTTATGCTCTCTGAGCCTTAATTTTTTTAGATTTAAAAATAGGGGTGATAATAAAAGTTTCCTTATAGGATTTTTGTGAGGAGTAAGTAGATAAAGATGGGGGGGGAAGATTTTACAAAATATAAAGTACTGATCATTTAGTTACATCTTAATATGATTTTCTTAATGTGTTAGCTGTCTCATGGATTTTTAGGAATAAAATTTTATTCTCTTTTAAAGGAATTTCAGGCTTAAACTTCAAACTTGTAGGTACACATAAAAAAATGTGTTGGGGTAAGAAGTTGGCCCTGACATTTAAAAAAAAAATAACACTGAATTGATTTTGCACAAAATTATTTGGAAGCTTCAGTGTGTTGAATCTATCAGCCAGGATAAATTTAGGAGTTTTATGCAAAACTATGATACTTTCCCTTGATTATTATCTGATTATTCTTTTTCTTTTTAAGAATTATTTGTTTTCAAAAATGTCAAATCCACAGAAAAGTTAAAGGACAATATAATGAACACTGAATACCTCTCACCTAGATTCACCAATTGTTAAAATTGTGCCACATTCTCCTTGCTGCTCTCTATCCCTTTCCCCACTAACCCCGCATACTTCTCTTTTGCCAAATATCCAAAAAAGTAGGCTACAGTCATCATGAAATTTAACCCCTAAATACTTTGGCATGTATCTCTAAAAACAAGGACATTTTTATACCATACTTTAACCCCTCCTAAGAAAATTAACATTAATAATATCAAAATACAGTCAGATATTTTCAACATGAACACCACGTGGGTGGTACTGTATTTCCCACTTGATGTCAAGTGATACAAATTGTACATGCATATGGTACCTGTTATTGAACTTTCTTCTCTTGAAAAGATATTAATAATAGCATATTAGGAACTTAGAGACTGTTCATACATGTGTTTACTGTGCCCTAATGAGGCTGTTCAAAAAAAAAAAAGCTAATAATATTTTTAAGGCCTACCCTACTCATACCCTTTTACTTTTATTCCCATAGCTAAATCTGGGTTGGTTGGTTGGTTTTTTCTAAACCAATAGTTCTGAAGCATCCAAGCTAACTCATTAGCCATTATTTTCTTTGTTAATACAGCTGTTTGAGAGTCAGTCCGACTTTAGAGATCCCCACTGTCACATACTTACAAAATCTAATTCTGTGTAAGTCAATTCATGTATGTGAATGATCCTTTGAAAAATAGGATTCCCTGAAAATTAACCTCTACAATCTACCAATGATATAACAAACTACCTGCTTAAAAGGAATTTTTCTTCCTGAAATTACTCTAAAAATGTACCTTTTTTTTGTCATAAAATTCCCGTAACATAAAATTAAACATTCAGTGGCACTTAGTGCATTCACAGTGTTGTGCAACCATCACCTCTGTCTACTCCCATGACATTTTCACTACCCCAGAAGAAAATCCCATACCCTTGAGGCAGTTAGTTACTCCCTGTATCTCCCTCTCCCCAGCCCTGTACTTTTTCTTTTTAATGTGATTTTTTTCTCTATTTTAAGACATTTTTAAAATACAGAGACATATGGAAAATAACAAAATATTCATATTCTTGCTACCCAGAATTTTTTTTTCTTTTTTTTCCTTTTCTTTCTTTTTTTTTTTTTTTTTTTGAGACACAGTCTCACTCTGTTGCCCGGGCTAGAGTGCCATGGCATCAGCCTAGCTCACAGCAACCTCAAACTCCTGGGCTCAAGCAATCCTGTCTCAGCCTCCCACCCAGAATTGATTATATTAACATTTATCATTTTCACTTGAAAAAATGTTTATCATAATAAAAAATGGCACTAAAAAATGCATTCCAAATGAAGCTGAAGTACACCTTGACACCCCATCTCTGGTCCCATTCCTTTTTCTCCCATCCTTTAGGCAACGTTTCCAGTGAATTTGGTCTATATTCTTTTAGTCCTTCTCATTTATTATATCTATGAAAAATATGTAGTGCTGTTTTGTAAATTTAATTTACTTCTATGGTGTATTGCACATATGCAGCTTGCTTTTTTCCTCTTGACATTGTTACTGATTTCTCTATGTTGGAATATGGAAATAGTCCATTTTTGACTGCTGTATAGTATTCCATCACATGAATCAGCTATATTTAAATTATCAGTTTCCCCTAGAGATAGATTTCTAAGTCATTACTTTTTTCCATTACAGCCATACCATAGTGAAGATTCTTATACATGTCTAATGGTGTAACTGTTTCTTTAGTGTGTATACTTACAAGTGAGTCAGAGCACATGCACGTTTTTATTCTACTAGGTATTGCTAGTGACTGTACCAAGTTCACAATCCCATTAGTAGTTTGTGAGAGTTTCTGTTTCCCACATCTTACCAACATTTGCTATTAGATTTCTTAATTGTTGCCAGTCCGATGGGGGATAATGGTGTCTTATTTTGATTTGCATTTTCCTAATGGTTTTACCATCTCTTCATAATTTATTTGTCATTCAGGTGTTCTCATCTGTAACTTTTCTTATTCATGTTCTTTCCAATTTTTCTCTTGGATTTTTTTGGGTTTTTGTTGATTTTGAATTTTTGTATATGCCCACCTACTAATCCTTTGTCGGTTCCGTATGTTGCAAATATCTGCTTTTCTTTTCTCATATCAAACAAAATTTTTCAACTTTGGTGCAAAACATATTTTCTATATACTTTCCTATATACAGTATAAATAGTTGTTTATTAAGCATAGATAGCGATAATATTTAAAAATGGAGATTTATATTTTATGTTTCATTTTTAATATGGGGACTTTGCTTTAGGACGGTTTTGTTCTTTTTTTGAGCCATCACATTCACTTATCAATGACTTACCATATTATCACAAGAAGCAAGATAATTTAGAATCTTTTCATAGGTTTTGAAACACCCTGAATTAAATGAATCTCAAATGAAAAAATGCTTACAAAATTCTTCCATGTGATAAAGGTTGAAACATTAAGTATATGAGTCCAATCGTATTTATAAATTAGACTGTAGTACAAACATTGAGTGCTTACACCACCTTTGCCCCATGTAGCATAGCTGTCCAGAAGTTATGCATTCATTAAAATATTGAGGCTAAGCTGGATTTCCTCTTCTCTTTTACAAACTATTAAGGTCTCCTATTTGTTTCTTCATGGGCCACATCTGTCAAAATATAGACCAAAACCTATTTTTTATGCATGGAGCATTGACATTTCTGTATACCTGTGAGATATACAGAATACATAAAGTTTAAATCATATTGTGATAATACATCTGAAAAACTATATTCACCTAGGAATGATATACAATATTTAGATTATAGGTAGTCTATTGGTAAAACTAAATTAAAAGCAAGAGAAATATATTCTGACTCTGTTAGAAATCGGAGGTTCCTAATCACTTAATCCAACTCCTCCTTCATACTGAGAAATAAATCAGACTAATGTCCACTATGGTATGTTGTAAAGAGTGAGCAAAATTTGGCTTCCTGCTCTTTCTTGCCTTAATTGAAACCTATCCATCCAGCTAAAGCTGTAAATACTGGAAAGTGCTGAGACCCAGAATGAGAGCCCTGCCAGCACACACATCCACTCCAGGCCCCACAGGAGTAGCCATTTTGTCTCAGTCACTTTTAAATCTCAACTTTTCCATTTGTAAAATGGGATAATAATAGCTTATCAAAATAGAGTAGGACTACGTATGTATGACTACCAGGATTATTGTGGGATTAAGTGAAATATTATAAATGAAAGCACTTTAAAAGATATGAGGTACTACTAAATGCTGTTCATCACCTGTTGTTTTCTTCTATAGCCATGAAGACCATTACAGATTGGCTGGTAGGCATTACAGATTTGGAATCATGAGTTTTAGATAATTTATTTCCTCCTAAATAATCTGGATTGTAAGTGGTTCAGAGAGACACTGTTTTCCTAGCAATTCATTCAGTTAAATCATCACTATGGCCAGACTTAAGAAAGGTTGGAATAGGTAAGATTTCTTATTTTTGATGTACCCAGCTCAGTGATTTCTAAAGTGATGCTTTCCTTGTGGGTCACTTTAGCTTCAGTAGAGGAGGTGCTTCAGGGATTGGACAGGTGAGGTAACAGCATTTTTTTCCTAGTGAGGATAACCAACCTGTGTGCTCTGTGCCAGGTATCAAGCCATGCACTTTATATTTTCTTATTTCTAACCTTAGAAGACTATTGATTGTTAGAATATTAACTCATAGTTAGAATATTAACTCAGTTGAACAAAACTGTACCATTCAACATTTATTTGAATTTCAGACTGTACTTCTCTATAACATTAGAAGGTGCTTCATTTATTCTACCATTTATTGTATATGATTTGCAAGGCAAGGATAACTTAAGTTGCTGTAACCCACACCAGTGTGTGACTATTAATGAGTTATATTGAGACCAAGTTGCAAGCTCAGTATTTTATATGGAGTAGTACTTCATTCATATTTCACAATAAAAAGTCCTACTCTATTTTAATAAGCTATTAAGAAATTAAAACTCATTACTTCACAATTACATTTTAATTATCCATTTATAAAGTGCAAAATATTCTTTTTTTCAAATGAATCCATTAGTCATATCACCTATTTGTCCTAAGAACCTAATGCTACACCGGGAAATAATTGTGCATAAAGGTCCTTTGGTGTCCTGCCTCTGAGGTATTTTGTCCTGCAAACATCAATTTTAAAAATTAGCTCTTCCCTTTCACGATTACAGATCTGCTGTCCATGTAGTAAACTGTTCTATGTACTTTTTAAAAAATTTCTCTAACAATTCTTTACTTTTCAAAATTTTTTCTGGACCTCACAATATAGCTGCATTAAAAAAAAGTGAAACTGCAGTTGAACAAAGCAGTAACAGCAAATCAGCATATATATGACATTTTTAAAAAGCCATCTTTCATTTTTTTTAGGGAGTCAAAAGGTAAACAATTCCTTTTTATCTTTAAATATTAATAGTTGAGTGTCTGAAGGAAGTATTCTTTCAGGTATAGGCATTAATGTAACAGCTTAGCACTCAAAAGTGTAATTCTTTTTTGACACTGTTACCAGTGTCAAATTTTATATCCAGTAGTACTCACACACATGAATACTAGTCTTCATTTAACTCCTTAGATGGCACTTAGGAAACTTGGATTTTCTTTCCCTTGAGTATAGTATTTTAGTCACATACCTGTATACTCTAGTACCAACCAATCAAAAACAGTTTAGTTTAATCTGTCATTTTCTCTGTATTTTATTTTAAGATAAATCAGATTTTATTGGGAAGAACTCATTATGAAACTAACTCCAGCATGCATTGGTTTATTCTTTTTCCAAATATTGAAATATAGAGTATTAAATGGCCCAACTATATGATAGCAAGAATCCTGCTAAGAGAAATATGTTGACATTTGGTCCCTAGGAAATCTGAATTTTAAATAATACTGTAGCAGTTAGGAAAATATCCTGATTATGAGCATTGCTACTGTAATTATCTGAATAGAAAGTTTGAGATTTAAAAATAATTTTCTCTCCAATGTTTAGGTTGGTCACAGCAGATGTAGCTTTTTACACTGGAAATCTTCAAGCCTTAAAAGGCCTTAAAGATTTGGACCTAAATATGGCTGAGATCTGGGAACAGAAGAGGTGATGTCATGCTGGAAAGCTGGGTAGTTCATCTGACCATGGGATGTGTATGTTTATGAAGAAAATCTGGATGTGTATGATTCAAGAACTGAACCTGGAACCCAAAGTGAACTGGGGTGGGGTAAGGGAAAAAGGAAAGTATCAGTGTTGGGAAACTGGATTCAGTGGGATCTACAAGGAATGCCATTTTGGTGCATCCTGCAGTGAGGAGTTAACTGATCAGGTGTCTATAACATTTTTCATTCTCTCTGGAAACAGACTCAGGTTTCTTTGGACCAAATCCAAAAGAACACATAGCTGTAACACAGCTGTAGTTGACTAGAATGCTCTGTATACTTTATATTAAAAAATGCTTTGCATTTCTTCCAGTGCAATGAAATTCATATGGTGTCCCACCTTATTTAATGATGGTACAATTTAAAATATTAAAATCTTAGTCAACCTCTGTAGAAAGTTTTCTCTATGAAAGTAAAGCTGTTTGAAAAATTATTTTTTTACAGATCTTTCTATAAAAAATAAACATCTTTTGACTGCTTGGATTTAGGAATTAATTTTTGTTTTGGTGACCAATGTCAAGTTTTAGGCTTTGTGTGTTACATATTTAATATTTGTACTACCACTGTATGTCAACTGGGTAAGGCCTTCGAGAACTGTCTAAATACTTGAAAGGCTGATTATAAGTAATAGTTAAAGAATAAGATACTGGCATTTATTTATGCAACTAATTTAAATACTTTTCAGAAGTGGTATTAAAAAGGCTACAGTTTAGTATCTGTATTTTTATAAAAAAGTATCTATGAAGGGTTTTTGGTGTTGGGGTTTTTTTTCCTCTTTATTTTTAGCAGAGGTATGAATATGTATTCATATATTCTGCCTACTTTTGAGTTCTCATTTCAACATTTAGATATGAAGTATGGCCCCCTTGGATTGCATTTCAGTTACTTTCAATGTGTATATGAACAAAGACCAGGGAGAAACATAGGCTGCTGTGTTGGGGCCAGAAATAAGGTGACAAGTAAGTTAAAGACTTCTGTAATACCTACCTTCAAAATTAGAATCAGCAGCACTCTACAAGTGAAAGTGCCTGTGCCTCACCTCACACCAGGAATCTTGCCTAACCCTGTCAGAGTGCCTAATCTCGTGATTATGTACAATGGAATAGTCTTATTTTGTGCTCCTCAGTTTCTTAAAAGGAAAGCTTATTTTCTTTCCATTATCATTACAGAGGTATGTCATTGCTTCTTAAACTGTCTGTCTAAAATAAAGCTGTAAAAAATTACCAAACTTTAAAAGGCAACTTTTTTTGAATGGTATACAGCAGCGGTCCCCAACCTTTTTGGCACCAGGGACTGGTTTCACGGAAGACAATTTTTCCACGTACTCGGGGGCATGGGGGAGGACAGTTTGGGGATGATTCAAGCCATTACATTCATTGTGCAGTCACACCTGTCTGCTTAATGATCATCTGTATTTGCAGCTGCTCCCCAGCACTAGCATCACCACCTCGGCTCCACCTCAGATCATCGGGCATTAGATTCTCTTAAGGAGCAACCTGGATCCCCCCCTTGCATGTGCAGTTTCCAGTACTCCTCTTACGAGAATCTAATGCCGCTGCTGATCTGACAGGAGCAATGGGGAGCAGCTGTAAATACACATGAAGTTTTGCTGGCTGGCCCACTGCTCGCCTCCTGCTGTGTGGCCTGGTTCCTAACAGGCCATGAACTGGTACCGGTCGGTGGCCCAGGGGTTGGGGACTGCAGGTATATAGTGAACTTTAAGTTAAACAAGCAGCCTACTCAAAACAAGTATGGACAAATTGGAAAACATGATTGATTCTTACAGAAAAAAAAGGCATAAATTGTCCTACTAGATCTGAATGGAAAGGTTATTAATAAACATTTTTCAGTGATGATAACAAGCTTCAGGAAGTGAAGCTTCAAGGAAAGAGAACTTTTTATGAAGTTACACCCCCACACTACTATACAAAAGTACAAGGATGTGAAAGAAATGCCTCCCCTCTGTCCACCATGCCCACTTTAGCTGGGAAAAGAAATGCCACTTTGTTTCAATAAATGGAGAGTCTGTGGAAAGCATGGCAGGCATCCCAGCTTTTAAAATTTTTATTTATTTATTTATTTTTAGAGACCAAGTCTCACTCTGTTGCCCAGGCTGGAGTTCAGTGGTACAAACATAGCTCACTGCAGTCTCTAACTCCTGGGTTCAAGCAGTCCTCCTGCCTCAGCTTCCCAAGTAGCTGGCTCAAGCCACCTGGCCTGGCCATCCCAGCTTTAGAATTAGATGAAAGGCACTAAATACCTTCACATTTAATTCCTGTGGAAATAATGATGTGGTTAAGATTCTAAGAAATGCCGAAAATTAGACTTGCTAGGTAACTAGCCAAAGCACTTAAATATTTATTCCAAGAGCAAGTCTTCTAATTTATATAGTAACTGTTTAACAAGAGTAAACCATTGTGTTTCACCATTTCATAGTTAGCATTATAAAGTACAAGCGTACACAAGTATTGCTTCACCGCTTTATTTTCGAAATCACAAGCAATTCAAAGTGACTGTCATTGAGGCTTCTGTTAAAAGATCTTCCAGCAGAGTTGCTGCCCCAGTTTTAAGATTAGACAATATTGCACTTTAAGTTGAACTAACTTTCAGTATCCTCTTCAAGGGAAGGAAAGTATTGCTCCATCTGTGCTTTTTTTAGACTAAAAGCATATTGCAGAAAACTCTACTTTAAAAATCAACACCGCAGGGTACAGTAACATAGTAAAGTACCTGCCTATTTGAGAATCCTAGAGAACATTTCATTGTAAGAAACTATTTAGCCCATAATTAGTATAAAGTGTCCGCAGTATTTTTCGTTTCAGTGGTCCAAGATGCGAAGGTTTCCAGATACAATCTTGTTCTCTAATACTGCTCCAGGTGGGATGTCAATTCTGTCACCATGATTTGCAATGATGATAACTGTTCCCTAAACGATAGGGAAAACAAAAATTAACAGTGTACTTGCAACTGAAATGCAATTTGATTATAATTATCAAGTTGATGTGCAACTTGTTTTACAGTGGAGTAATTATATTTATAAATGATATTAAATATGAAAAACAAACATGTTAAGGAAAATTGTAATGTGTCCTCCTGTAACAATCCTGGCAGTAGTTCTAGATTCCCAAGAGTGGGAAGTGGACCCAGTGTCACAGCATGACTGGCCCTTTTGAAGGCCTACTTTCGAGGCCACCAGCATTATCCAACCCTCACAGAGACATTAAAAGGTGCTTGATTTATATTTACTGATAATATTTTTCATGCCTTAAGTGAGTCTTTAGGTAGTATCAGCAATAAAGCTTAATATATGTTTTTTTGTTGTTTTTTCAAGTTCTTCATTTAAGTAAGTAGCTTTAATTGGAAGGGCACATGAAATCTTGTAATGGGATTTTTGAAAAATTACTTTATTAGGAAAAAGCTGTTGTATCTTTGGTTGTGAGCTTTAATACTCTATTTCCTTATTTCTTATGCTAGGCTGGAATGATACTTGTCAAAGTACAAACGTCCTTCTACTGATGACAACAGATTCTTTTAACAGGAATAGACTATATTCAGTATAAAAGAAGTTGTCATTTTGTCTTTCAATCAAATAGTCATCTTTAGTGAGCTAATGTTAATAATGATCCTATTTTAAAGATTGTCTCATTTCAATAATAGTACCAGTTCAATTATTAATACTAATTAGTGTTTGCCTTCCATTTGAATGCTAATTACAGGAAATTCCTATATATGACAGTTATGCTTAAATTTTAATTATATTTTGTATCAGTGGAAGACAGTAGTAATACTAAATACTGTTGCAACCTACTTCATGTCTGTATCTACTCATTTAAAAAAATGTATCTATCTTATAAACATCTGGTATAGACTAAGAAGTAGCCTTTAAGTAAAGGTAGATTTATGACTAGAAAATGAAACCTGTTTTGTAAAGCTCTAAGGAATGGAATTTTCATTTAACAACATACCTTTAATGAAACATTCTTGCCAAATGTCACATCTCCTGAAACTGTGAGGTGATCTAATTCAAGCATATCTGGTATACTTTCAAATCTTCTTAGATAATCTTGAACCTTAAAGAAAAGTAGAAACAAAAATTGCTTCAAAAATGAGTTCACATAAATATAGGAATTATATTAACAAGATCATTTAACTGAACTGTAAAAACATTTTATGGCCAAGCCCAGATCCTCTATGAGAAGCACATATTTATTAAACACTCACTATATGTTAGATACTGTGTAGGAGAAACCAGGAGATATGAACATTGTCCTTATAATCAAGAAATTTACAATGTAGTTGAGCAGATCAGACATTTAAAAAAAAAAGACAACCAACATAACCAGATGAATAGTTCACATAATCTGGATTTAGTTGGAAAAAGGAGAGATCATCATGGCTTGAGGCAGGCTAGACTGGAGCTGGGCTTTAGGGGATAGGTAGGATTCAGAAGTAGAGCACATTTTAGGAAGAGCGACAGCATAAATCATCACTATCTTTGCCTCTTATTTCCCTAGTCTTAAAAGCATTAGAGGTTGTCCTATATGACCTTGTTTCCTATTCTGCTGAGAAAATAGAAGCAATCAGAAAACTTCCACTGGCTTCCATCCACCACCACCACCTTGCCTTCCCTCCTAGTACTGGAATTGGACTGTTTCTATTCCTACATAAAGCCAACCTCTCCACTTGTGCATGAGATCCTTTTTATGGCCTATTCAAGGATTCCATTCAGCAGTTCTCCCTCTTCCATGTTTTTTCCTTCTGAACTGCATCAATTCCCATCAATGTATAAATATGCTGTAAATTCTATCAAAAAAAATTCTTAAATCTTATATTCCTTTCTATAGCCCCATTTGTTTCTCTTTAAGGCAAAACTCTTGAATGGGTTTTTTACGTTCATATCTCCAAATCACTCCTTACCCATTCTCTTTTAAATGCATGCCAATCAGGCTCTAAAACCTCCATACTGATAAATCTAATGGTGAATTCTCATTCATCTTACTTGGATCAGCAGCAGCATTATACATATCACTCCCTCTTTCTTGAAATATTTCTTCATTTGACTTTCAGGACACACACATTCCTGGTTTTCTACCTAATTCCACATCTGCAGTTTACACCACGTGGCACCAAACCGCACCCAGAGCTAAAATAGACGGGATGGCCTAGCAGGACCCCGCGGGCCAACTAGAAAGGATCACTCTGTCATACTTCAGTTGCCTCATAACATTTTACGTGATTAAATTTTTTAGATTTCACTTATCATGCCAGGGCGGGGTTTTGCTTTACAGCTGGTCATCGAATATTGTTTTGTTCAGTGTTGCTTCGTTGTAACATTGATGAAGCGGGAAAATAAATCAGTCCCCAGCCGGGGCCACTGTCTTTATGCAGTCTGCGTAGGTTTCCTCCCACATCCCAAAGATGTGTACATTAGGCTCCTTGGCATGTCTACATGGTCCCAGTCTGCATAAGCGAGGGTATGTGTG